ACAATTAGAAATGTTTCAGAGCAATCACAAAATACATAAACTCAATATTATCCTTTAGGAGGTCATGGTTGATCCTGAAAATCGTCATTTAATTATATGAATGGGTGTAAAGGAGGAACAGAGCTTCAGGAAAGAGCACTGAAGGGATAAAGGGAATTGAGAAAATTTTGAAGCAGTGTAAATTTCACAGGTTCACTTACCTAAAACCAACTACATGAACAGAAACTAACCTGAACATCAAATTCACTGAGTCCCATCGATCTGAGATCTAGTTCTATTTTTCCAGGAAGGAGGGAGGGAGGGAAGAAGAAAGATAATCAACATACACCAACCTACATATATTATCTCACTGATCCTGTCAACAACACTGTAAGGTACCTATTCTTATTATACCACCAGTATACTCATTTTACATTTGACCAAATTAAGCTTCAGAGATTATGTGACTTGCCCAAGATCTCACAACCAATAGGGGGTAGATATGTGATTCAAATCCAGGTGTGTCTGATCTGACTCCAAACTCCTGTTTTTCCACTCGACCACACTGTAAATTGATGCAGACACAGATGCTATTGCGGATATACCCAGGGCCAAGCAAATGAATTGCAGAGCAGAGACTAGGGCCTAGTGGAAGCTGGGAGGCATCGGTATGTGAAAGCAACCATCTTCCCCTTGAGAATCATCTCCCACAGTGCTCAGCTGCTTCAGAAGGGAAGAAAGAAGGAAGATGGCTGCACTGATCTAGAGCTTAGGATTGCAGGGTAATTGCAGCACTGAAGAAGGGGTGAAGGGGATTGAGAAAGCTGGCAGGTGAAGAGCTTAAGAGAAAAAGTCTTACCTAAATTCAGGAAAATAAGTGAAGCCGAGGGGGATTTGCAGAGCAAGAGAAAAGCAAGGTTGTCAAGGGACTAGAAGGCTCCATAAAGTGAAAAGCTACAATGAAAATAGGGAAATATAGTTTAATTTTTTTTCTTTTCTTATGTTTTTTTTTTTGGAGTTAATGAGAAAGCAGCCCCAAAATGCCCTGGAAAGTTCATCTCAGTCTTAGAAGCATTTGGTCCTGTTGAGATGGTATCAGATAGTCTTTTGAAGAAACAACTCCAGACAACTTCTGGAGTTCCTGTTATTAATTAGAGATTTTGATATAAATAATATATCTGTATCTATATTTATATCTATATCTCTATCTATATAGAGAGGGAGAAACAGAAAGACAAAGAGAGATTGAGACTTGTGAGTAGAGAGAGAGGAAGGGAGGGGGAGAATTAGGTTAGAGACCTCAATTCTCCAGGGCTCGGGAGTGTCCCTACAGGCTAGGCAGTCATAGCTAAAATAAACCACATCCTGACTTACATCACTGGAATTCCTATAACACATGCCAACTGAAGGTGTTGTGAGTCTAAAGATTAAAAAAAAAAAATGAATGCAGTGGTTTTCTTTTACATCTACCGAGAGACCCTGGGGTTGAATTTGCAGCTAGACCACAATTAGGCTTCTGTTCTTCCCAGAGAAATTTGTTGCAAAGTCATTTGAGCAACTGCATCCTGGAAACACAGCCCAGCCAGGGTGACGGATCACCTTGCAAAGGATCTGCAATTAGCTATTTTCAAATGATGACAAAGTGTGAAGTTAACTGCTTATTTAAGAACTTTCTTTTTCATCCAAAGTAAATTCAAATACAATTGAAAAATCTGACCTTTTATTACTGGAGCTCTCTTGACTAAAAGCAAAATTGAATTTTAATTCCTAACTCTCCATGTATATACAGTACCATGAGAACATCATAAATTTTGGCTCCATGCCCCAAAGATAAATTGGCTTTGGGATTACTTGGATTAAAAACAAAGCCTTCTGTAAGAGATGCACTTAATTTTCATGATGTTTTCTTATTCCTAAAGCTAAAGACTAGTTCTTTTAAATTTCAGTTTTTCTCGATCATGAAAATGCTACCAAAATTCTGAATCGGCCAAAGAGGTATAATTCAGGTAAATTGGAAGAGTTTGTTCGAGGGAACCTTGAGAGAGAATGTCTAGAAGAAAAGTGTAATTTTGAAGAAGCACGAGAAGTTTTTGAAAACACTGAAAAAACTGTGAGTATTTCCACATACCATCTTTCAGATGCAGAGCAAAGAATAGTAAACCTAAAAAAAGAAACTTCTCTTTGTAATTTTAAAATGTCTATACATATATGTGTATTATATATGCTATAAAAGAGAAGAAATCAAATCCAAAACATTTTAAATGTCACCATTAACTTCTCTTTCTTTTTATAGACTGAATTTTGGAAGCAATATGTTGGTAAGCAATTCATTTTATCCTCTAGCTGGTATATGAAACATTTGAGAATTGTTTTTTCCCCTTCTGTGTAAATAGATAATATATTAAACTCTGTCAAAATGGCTCAGAAAATAAATTTCACTCTTTTACCCAAAGTCGAATGGTGATATACTACAGGTTTATGCCAGCATGGGAGATATCAATTGGCAGGTAAGCTTACTCTTCCACAGGGCTTCAAAAAGAACATCGTTCCACCCCAGGAAGCTGGAAGGATGAAACAGAGATGATTGTATCTAGGGACTGAATGAGAGTTGCGGTAGAGAATCAGAAAATGCTGATTGACTTAAATGTTTTTTGCTTATAAGTCCTCCTTATGATGGCCTGCAAGGCCCTCCACAACTGCCCTGCCCCTCCCTTCCGACTGCCCCTCCCATCTTTTCTCCTCACATACTGGACCTCAGCCTGCTGGCGTCCAGATGTTCCTTGCACACAGGAAAGAGCAATAGAAAAGAAAAGAAAGAAAATAGAAAAGCAAAGAAAACTCTGATTTCAGAGTCCTTGATATGGCTGTTCCTTTCATGTAGAATGCTCTTCTGCTAGGTTTCCCTAGGCGCACTCCCTCACCTCCTTCGGGTCTTCACCCAAATGTAACCATCTCACGGAAGCCTACCTTGATCATCTTTTAATACTTCAATCTGCCCCCTGATAGCCCCTTCACTCTAGACACCTGCTCTACTATTTTTCATAGAACTTTTCACCATCTGAGATATTATGTGATGTTCTTACTTATACTATATATTTTTCCACCTCACTAGACATCAAGCTTCACATTGGCAGGGGTATTCAATTGTTTTGTTTATTGATGTAGTCCTAGTACCTAAACAATGTCTGATACAGAAGCACTGAGTAAATATTTATTGAATGAATTGATCAAAAAGAGGAAAAGTCAAAATGTTAATGACAACTACATTTTAAAACTAATTTAAGATCCAGCAGCAGGATTTTGAGGCAGTGTAAGTTTCACAGGACTTATCTGGACAGCAAATTCACTGAGTTCCATCAATCTGTAATCAAGTCCTATTTTCCAGTTTCTATTCTGGAGACACTGTTAGACAGGTATGTTGGACATAGTCTCATAAGTCATAATTTTTCCACTTTTGTTTTTAAATAATAAGGGAAGAAGAGGTCCGCTCCATTGTATTTGCTTTAGCTACATTTCCTTGTTCTTCTTATGAGTGCTACCATGCCAATTCTCCACTGAGGTATTCCCCTACGGTTAGTCTGAACACATCTTCTCATTCTCTATTTCTACTATATTTAAAACTTTGAATCTTTTGATATTTTTTAAAGGACATCAATTTCTACTTTTTCTCCCCAAAATATTCCTAGGTGTATTTAAACTCTCATGATCCCTTCATTGCCCATCCCCAACCTGACCTCCCACCCCGTAGCAGGTGTGGGTCAGTGTCTGTTAAGCTCCATATTTTGAAGTGGGGCCCCCGCCTTCTGGGTCACAGGCCGTAGTTACTGTGTCTTGGGTAAAGATACCTGGGAAACGTAAAAGATATAATTCTGTTACTACTGCTTTGTCTACCAAGAAAATAAAACATGAATGAGGACAAAAAAGGAAAAGAAAATAATTCCATGCCTCTTTTCACTTGCAGCCGAGATTGCTAACCACCCCCAAATAGTCTATACTATTTCTCACTGTACAGGCTTCTACACAGAGCAGGGACACAGGGCCCTCATTCCTGCCTCATTCTGTACCATCAGCTCAACATAAAAACCTTGGGTGAAGAAGAAGCAGTATCATCCAATCACATTAACTAGCATCTATCAAGCACTTTACAGTTCATCAAGCGTCTATTACATTTAATCCTCACACCAACCCTGTGAACAAAGCAGTATTCCCTTCATTTCACAGAGGAGGAAACTGAGGCCTAGGAGGGTTAAAAGACTTGTCAAAAGTCACCCAGCTAGGAAGTCATAGAGCCCAAAAAAGAATCTAAGTTCTCTAATGCCCAACCCCTTGCTTTCACTATTACCTCTCCCGGCCTTCAAATCTAAATGTAGTTATTCACTGAACACCAACCTAGTAGCCTTACACAAAAATTTCTCACTTGACAAGATCTAGTCCCTTGTTGTCTTTGACCCCTACTGTCTGTGGCTTTACTTCAGCCCAAAGTACACACAGACAAGCACCCAAAGGATGGCTAAAATGACACTCATTTTAAAGATGTGTCTCAGCAAATGAGTTGCTGTGTAGCTGGCTGCAAGCCCAGACCCTTTCAGTGAAACATCCTAAATAATTCAGATTCGTTGGTCTATAATATAAAGTGCAAATGCAGCTCATTTTTTAGACCAGTTCCGAACATCAATAATAATAAACCAGAGATAACATAATTTGTTTTCATAGAATTGGAACACATTGAAGTATCTGTGCAAAAGCACATTGGATCAAGGGGCAGAGGGAGCAAGGTTTAATTTTTATAGCAAGCAGATTTTCCAGAGAGGGACTATTTCTGAGAAAGGAATGTTAGTCCTTAGTCAATGGGACCTGGATACATGCTACTGACAGAGAACATGACAGACATGCTATAGCTCGCCTTGGAGCAGGCAGGGATCTACACTCTATATATCTGGGAGTTTTGCTCTAAAGCATGACTGAGAATTCAAAATTATTTGCCTTCCTTCTCTTATTTTTTTTAGTCTTATGACAACTTCATTCTTTACTATTTTGTTTCTCATATATTGTCTTGCTGATCTGACTCCTATTTTTTTCTTCAGGGCTATTTCGCTTGGCTCAAAATGTATATCAGTCTCTCTTCTGGTTCTATTCATCCCTTTCTCCTAAAGCTTCCTTAAAAGTATGGATGGAGGCAGAGCTCTAAGAAATCGAACTTAAATGTTTGCTTCTCATCCTGACATTTCCCCTTTTGCCTATTTCTTTACCAGTGTCTTCAAAGGCTCTCAAGAACTCTATAAATATAGAAACTTCAGGAAATGTAGAAAGGACGCATAGTCAATCTATACATAAATACAGGACATTTTCAGAATCTTCTCTTTCTTAATTCTTTGTACTGAAAGTTGTTTCTCACTTTACCTAGACCATTTGAGATCTCACTAAGACAGAATATCTTTAAGCAGTAACAGATGCTTCTGGCATCTTCTCTAATTGTTTTGAACATTACTACAAATTATACTTAAAAGTTAAATGATAACACAAAGAAGCAGATGTATTCGCTCTACACCTTGGCCACAGGTTCTTTGAGTGGAAGTACCACATGTTATCTGGCTCAGCGTGCACTGCAAGACCTGTGATAGAGCAGTACTTATATGACACACAGATAATAATCATTGACGTGATGTGATTTGTGTTCCTCCAAGCAATATCCTAGGAAATTAGTGCTAGCCTAAGAATCTTAGTTTAGGTTGCTTTTAGAAATGCAGGAAGACAGGGACATCCTATAAGCAGCTGACTTCGAAGCCAGCAGTTCTGCTCTGACCCTAAAATAAGGCTCCCCTCCCCGTGAGTCTGTGTAGGGAGGACTGAGCATTCTAAGCACTTTACCTGCTAATTCAATGTCTTAACCTATCTCAAAGATGGAGATCAGTGTGAATCCAGTCCGTGCTTAAATGGTGGCCTGTGCAAGGATGACATTAATTCCTATGAATGTTGGTGTCAAGTTGGATTTGAAGGAAAGAACTGTGAATTAGGTAAGTAACTGTTTTTGGATTACTCACAGTTCAGAGTTTTCCTTCGAAACCAAATGAAACTAGAAAACGTAATATTTATGTATCATAATTTTCTCTTAATGACATATACATTTTTTGCAGTAAAAAACACTTAACGTGAGAGTACACAATACAGTGTGCTCTCACGTTAACAAATTTGGAAGTACACAATACAGTGTTGCTAACTCGAGGCACTGTGTTGTACAGCAGATCTCCAGAACTTACTCATCTTGCATAACTGAAACTATAGCTGTTGACTAGCAACTTCCCATTTTCGCTTCCCCCAGCCAATGATATTCTCTGCTTCTATGTGTTTGACTATTTTAGCTACCTCCTGTAAGTGGAAGCATGTAATATTTGTCCTTCTGTGACTGGCTCATTCCATTTAGCATAATGTACTCCAGGTTCATCCATGTTGTTGCATATTACAGAATTTCCTTCTTTTTAAAGGCTGAATAGTATTCCATTGTATAAAACATATGTTCAGAGCTTATAAACATTCATTTTTCTGTAGTCGTAGTTTCCAGGATAAGTTCAAGAAACTATATTAAGATCAATAATAATATTTGGTAAATAATAGGTAATTGGTAAATAATAATTAGGTAAATAATAGGTAATGTGTAATTATCTATTAATCGTATTAATTTCACTTATTAATCTCACCTATTAATCTTCAATACAACCATATGCAGTCAGTACCGTTATTATTATTCCCATTCTATGCACATGAGAAAACTACAGCTCAAAATCACAGAAGCAAGTAAATAGTCAAGCCAGGATTTGAACTTCAGTTTGTCTGACCAAAACCTATGCTCCTAACTACTATACACAAAACCCAAAGAAAACTGAACCCATAAAACTAAACTCCTGACTAAATCACTATCAACATAGGCAGTTGAAGTCAAGTAACTATAGAATTGGGGTATGGCAAGGTCAGTTCTCTCCGTAATAGGAACTACGCATACAAACCTCTTCATGTGTTAAATTTGTTGACAAAAATCTGAGCTCATTCCTGAATTTGACTGCATTGATTACACTTGAAAGAGTTCCATAGCAAATTTAGGTTCAGTGTGCATCTTTTCCTCTCATAGATAACCCAGAATATTTTTGTCTGAGATTTTTGCAATTGGAGCGGTAAACCTCAGTCTTTTACCTACTTATTTATTACCTCTGGATGCTTGTGAGAAGCACACAGTGCTAAGGACATATTCTCTTTTTACTCTGAAACTCTGGAGTAGAATAGAGATACATACCTAGGGAGAGGATTTAACACCACAGGCTACATGACTAAGGGCAAAGAGTAGAAAATTAGCAGAGCTCTATTAAGGCGTTATAGCAATCCACTTGACACATAGATGAAAAAGGCATAAAACAAAATGAAACACAGCAGCTGCACTTGTCCTATTGAAAAAGGGAAAAAAGTCATGCATAATGTTGTTCAGAAATCCTTTCAGTATTAAAGAGAAATCCACTGATCATCTTCCTTTGAGATTTAAAAGATGAAAAAGAATAAAAGAAAAGGACAAGGTGGCAGGGACAAATCATTTTAAAAGAAATAGTGAAAGCAGGTGGATGAACTGGCACATCTGGCCTGGATTCCTGTTCTCTCAGATTTCCCAGTGTGGGTACAAACCAATGCCTGGGTTACCTTTCCTGTGGGTATGTTAATTGGTCCAACATCTCTGAAGTGTTACTTTCACCTAAAAGGTTATAATTTCAAATTCAGATTTACCTTGATAAGTTTGATCCTGCTTTTCTGCAAACCTACAGAAATCTTTAGAGTAGTTATTCATTTTCAACTTAAATAATATAACCATTGGAGCTGAGGGAATGAATAACTCAATTAGTCTCAGTTAAGATTGAAGGGTACATTGTAGTAAAGTATAATTGAAAAGTATAATTAAGCACTATTTTAAATATTCCTAAATGTCTTTAGTTTCAAACTAAAGACACTTTTAAGGAGGAGAATAGCCCTGAGGAATGTAAATATAAGCACAAAAATTCCATAACAGATTTTGCTACATGTGTGAGGCTACAATCCACATAGCAAAAAGTGCTAAGTCTAAAACTGGCCCCATCTCAGTCCTCTTGGGTTCCCCACATTTTGGTTGATCAAGATCGGGCAATTGCACTGCGTCCACCTCCACACCTGGCTTCTGGGGTGTATTGATCTCCCCCAGTCCATCTGATCAAGGTTTAGAAAAATCATTTCAACTCAGTTAGTTCAGAACCAAAATTGGAATTCTCTCAAAAAGCTCTTTATCTCAGATACAAAAAGAAAGCAACAACGAAAACATAAAACTATCATTTAAGCTGTTGCTTCAAATTGAACTAAAGACAAATCTCAGCAGCTGCTGGATAGCACAGTTGATGGAGTACTTGAGCCCTAAGTCTCTTGCCTCATCCTGGCTTCGAAAGGGAAGGGAGATTTCCATTGTTAAGACCTGTTATTTTCCTTTTTCCTTGTCTTTGGGGCTCCTCTCCAGGAGAGAGAGGTACGAATATTCAGGGCATGCTTTCTACTTAGAAGAGTAACAATTAATTGGCTATTGTATCCCTTCGGCTATAATAAAGACCATTGTATGTCCCCAGCTACCCATCACATTTGAGTCCTTTTCAGATAGGTCAAGATCTGTAAGAACTTGGTCATTCCTGTC